GAGAGAGAGAGAGAGAGAGGTGGGGTTGAGGATAATTATTTTCTTTTGTTTTTATTTTTAAATCAAAACAGTATTTGAAAATTTAAAAAAATATATAAAAGAAAGTAAAAGGGTATAACTGTCATTTCAAATTTTTTTGGACCAAAAACACAATTTTATGCATGTAAGAAACTTTTTGGATTATATCCAAAGTTTTTTAAATACCACAAGACCAATGTTACAGTTTTTTCTAATATTATCCATTGGTTCAAAAACAATAACTATTATGGTTATTACATTGTTATATATTAAAATATATTTTTACGAAAGTGAAATTGGTTTTAGTGTAAGTTTACTAAAATAATGATATTTTTAACTTAGGATAGTTTTTTTAGAAAAAATAACTTAGGGTAATAATGTTTCAATGTTTTTTTTAAAATTATATTAAGTTTTTTTTCATGTTCATTATACCATAAAACTTTCGAATATTAGAAAAAAAAAATGTCACCTACTATATATATAGGATGTTAAACCCGTTTTTCAACCAAAAAAAAATAAATTAAAAATGTTAGACTAAAATATATTTATCTTTCTAAGTTTGCATTATCGTAGGCTACCAGGAGTGGACAACTCCCGTTATTGCACCTAATAACACCAAATAACGCCTAAAAACATCGCCCCCATCCATGTTATTAGGTGTTATACGCATGCGCGTTGCTTCCCGTTACCACCATCACTTCCATTAACCCCATTTTTTGTCATTTTCTTAATAACGCTGGTGTGGGCGTTGCCCACACCTACCAGTCTTATAAAAAATTTGGAATCCAATCTTGATGAATTAATGATTATTGGGATTTTTCATTTCTTCTTATCCGTTAAAAATGTGAGAAAACTTGAACTTATCTTAACAACTTAAATTAAACCAAAGTGAGAATTGAATTGTTGAACCAATTTTGTATGGAGACTGTTGCATTTGAAGTGTAGTTGAACCAAAGATTAACAGAAAAAGGAACTAGCAAATTAATTACATAATCCCCCCAAAAGAATCAAATGTAAAAAAAAAAAAAAAAAAAAAAAAAAAAAAAAAAATGTTTGAAATAATCTATCCCGNGGCAACACCACCCTTGTGGTGGTCGTCGAACTGGCACCGGTGGTTGAATAGGCGGCGGTCGCATTACCATACAACCCAGCAGCCCATCTCCTAAGGATCCTCAGCAGCGTCGCCGCCTTTCTCCTCCCTCTTCCGGTCCCCATCCCCATCACCTCCCAAATCACCCTCTCAATCCCAGGAATCGCCGCCAGCTCCGACACAATCTCCGATCCACCTTTCCGGCAAATATTCACAAGTGTGGCGGCGGCACTCTCTTGCGCCCTCTCCGTTCCATCTCTCAATATCGTCGCCAGTTTCCTAATCACATGAAACGCCGCCGTGATCGCCGCTAATCCGCCTTTCTTCACCACCGCCTCCAGCAATGTCACACCTTCCTCCGGTAACCCGTCCATTACTTCACTAGCCATCTCCACCACCCCAACCTCAAGCAACTTCCCCACCGTTTCCCGGTCTCCGGCCAAGTTCAGAATCGCCACCAACGCGTCTCGTTGCGAACTAATCGGCCCAGTTCTGGCCAACTCCATCAAACCCTTAATCACACGGCTCTTCCGACCGAGCTTTTTCCGGTACACCGGAACACCCGTTAGACTGAAGATTGTAGCGGCGGCGTTTCCTTTTGCTTCCCAAGTCGCACCTGTTCTTAATACTTCCACGATTCCATTTACAACTCCTTCGGTTTCCATTATCTTTGTCTTGTTTGCGTCGAGTATTGAGAGGTTTAGGATCGTTGTAACTGCGTTGATTTGAAGAGTTGGATGATCGGAGGATAAGAATTTTACAAGTAGCTGTAATCCGTCGGCGTCGGCGATGCAAGCGCGGCTGTTGGAATCCGTTTTGGCTAATGCCCGGAGCTCATGAACGAAGCGATCCGCCATTTCCAACGATTGTGAAGCTCCGGCTTTTTCAAGCAAAAACGTCACTGTCATTTTTGTAGCTTCGAATAGCGTTTTGTTTGTGGATTCTCCGGTGTTTTTTTCGTTGGTTTCTGTTGATTCGAACGGAATCCGGTGCTCGCGACACCACATTGTTATCAAGTTCCGCAATGCACGATTGGGTATCATCCCTGTGTGGTCCAGGGTTTGACCGGTTTTGGGACACGTGGTGTGTCCCGATTCAATCCAGAGATTGATAGAAGCTCGATCGTATGTTTGTCCTGTTGATACAACCACAGGGTCTCGCACCAGGTCGAGGGAAATCGGGCACCGGAAATCTGCCGGAATTGTTAAGTCGGTGGAGTTTGACTTTTTCCGGTCTCTGATTATCCTTGGAGATGATTCGCCGTACAACACGCACTTTGCGTAGCGAACAAGTCCGATCAACGAGACGATTTCAGCTTTTGATTTTTCATCATTTTGATTCCTAACTTCTTCTTCCAAGATCTCGATTTCTTCTGTGCAGCTCGTGGAATCATTCAATTGCAACCTGGTGAAGATCTCCTTGAGTTTTGTCTTTTGAGGAACAATCTCGCTCTTAATTCTATCTAATTTTTGCAATACATCGTTTCTGAGATTGATATCTTTTTCATCGATCCAAACCGCCGTTTTGGAGCACTGTTTCCGGATCAAATTGACTAATTCTTCAACGTCTTCGCTTAGATTCATCGCTTTAACAGGAAATATATCAACCAGCGTCGATAACTCGAGAGTAAACTCATGAAATTTGTTCGCGACTGATTGCTGCTCAATCAAAAGCCATAATTTACTTCCGTTACAACAATCTTCAATCAACGTCTTGATACTCTGCAATATGATGTACAACTCCTCAAAGCACAACACCGCCGATGCCGGAAAACACGATACAACATGATCAACAACCAACTCCTCAAGCATCAAAGTCAACAGCTTAGTTTTCCGAATTATCGAATTCGAATTCCGATACAGAACAAACGGAATCGGATTCAGTAACGAAGTTTCCCTCGATCGAAGCAATAACGATCGGAGAAGCCTTTCATCTGAATCCGATGATCGTTTCTTTTTTGGCGGCAAAGGTTCCGGTGAAACGGCCATGAATTTATGAATAATCAACAGCAAAATGAAATTAAAAAGAACGTAATTGCAGCAAACTAGAGATGAAAAACCTGATTTGCGATGAAACGAAGGAATCTTTGAACTGAATTCGAAAAGGAGTATGAGAAATTATTATCGTAGTTGTTGGTGGTATGTTGATAGGGTTGATAGCTGTTTATGCGTTTTCTCTTTTGTTTTGTTTATTGATATTAGATAAATTTGATAATCATAGCAATTGTATATACAATTATGGGGTCACCTCAGCTGGAAGATGGGGTGTTTGACGGAGTAATTTATTGCGTACTATTTGTTCATTTATTTTTATAAATTATACTTTTTGGAAGAAGGAAGTAGTTGAGAAGTTGAATTCGGAAGAATAAGAAATTTGGTGATGGGTGGGTGCACCAAACAAAAAAAAGAAAAGAAGAAAAATGGGTGGTGGTCACGGTGGTGATACGGCGGTGTGGGTTTTGACAGCCGTCAGCCGCCGGCAGGTGGACTAGTATTCATGACTTTTTCTTTCTCTTTTTTTTTTCTTTTTCTTTTATATAGAAAAGCCAACATGTTATTTTCGTGTTGTTCTTAAATCGGCGCCCATTGACCCAATTGTTTCCATTTTGAACCTCTGGGGTATGGATTTAGTCAAGTTACCTTGCAAAAAGTATTAGTTATTACTTATGGTAATTAGGCATATGGATAATTTGTATGTAAATATTTAATTAAGATAAGATTCTAATATTGATATGGCTAATTAATTAAAATGGCAAATTGCAAATAAGTCATTATATTATCATAAAATTTTGATTTTGACATTGAGTTTTTTCTTTTCGATTATGTTATCATAAAATCATTATATTTACAATCAAATGATCGATCTTCTTGTTCTCCCGGTAACCATCTTTTCCGGTCATTAAAATTTTTTATTTTGACACTGTGTTTTATTTTTCTCAATTATTCCATTACATTTATAATTTTATATAACACCCAATTTCAGGATGTTTCTTAATTCAGGATTGTGGACCGTAATTTGATCATCAAAAGGTTTTGGACTTCAAGGAAATAAAGTTTAGACCTTATTGAATATTGATAATATTGGTTATGAGATCCAAGCCTTTGATTTTTGTGTTGGAATCAAAGGGTAAAATGGGAAAAGTTATATGTCAGACTTCTTGCATGAATTATGATTTTTAGTTCAGTGTGTTTTTAGTCATAAGTGATTTGATAGAGTTGTGAGGTTTTTTCATACATTCGCATGGATACAAAGATCGTCGAAATCGGATTTGAAACCAATAATTTATGGTTGTTTAAAGTTAGAGTTGTGAAGTCATCTCCTACGTTAAGCGTAGGAAGGTCCCCTACGCTGAGCGTAGGAGGAAAAGTTGATTGGGGCTTAAATGACCTATGTTGAGCGTAGGTGAAGCTACGCTGAGCGTAGCCATGACAAATTAAAACCCTAATTTTGGGGTTATGAGCCCTAATTAAAGGCTCTAACTCCTTCAGGGACTCTTCATGCTAAACCTCCACCCTCTTATTCAACCATCTCGGAACCATAGCCACCTTGTGTGAGATTTGAGACCATAGAGTATTCTTGTGTGCATCTTTGAAGGAGGAGTTCATTGGAAAAGAACTTGGGAGCTTCAAGCTTTGTAGATCCAAACTTTGCACCTCATAATCCATCTCAAGAAGGTATAAAGTTCCCATCTTGGTGTTTATTCATGATAAATCTAGTTAGCCATGGATTTATATGTTTTTTGTCCCATGACCTTGGTCTTTGAGAGTATGGGTGTAACGCCCCGATTCTCAGGTATTAATATTGTGGCTTTAATGTTCAAGTTTCAAGGTCTACTCGACGAG